TTAGTGAAAGGCAATTGAAGGGTACAGTTAATGCCAGATTGTATGAGAGTTAATAAAAAGGATGTGTTAAGAGTTCCAGAAACAGTGACATGTAGACTGGAGCTCTCAAACACTACTGATGCACCTATTTTCTCAGTCACACCTGATTCCCAATATTTAACTACAGATTCCAACATTTAATAGTGAATTATGTCTGTTTTCTGCTGCAAAGAGCCACAAAATATATTTATAAATACACACATACACGTATTTAGACACACACGTATTCCCTCTAATTTCCTCCATTTTTTTTCTTTTAAAGTTTATTGTGGTAACAATGGTTAGTAAATTTACATAGGTTTCAGGTGTACAATTCTGTAATACATCATCTATATATCACATCTGTGTTCACCACCCAGAGTCAGTTCTCCTTTCACCACCATACATTTGACCCCCTTTACCCTCTTCTACCACACCCCCCCCTTTCCCTCTGGTAACCGCTAAACTGTTGTCTGTGCCTATGAGTTTTTGTTTCTCCATATGACTTCACTGACATGTGGTATATAAAACCAAAAACAACAAAGAAACAAGACAAACAAATGAAATAATTCCCTCCTTATACCCTAAACTATTTTCTTGTGGAGGTTCTGGTAATTATCTTGCTGTGCTTTTCGGGTCACTGGTTACTGTGACTGTAGTCAGACTTGGGATTTTGAGTTTCACCATCAGAACAACGTTTTCATCTTCACTTATTCCATTCCCTTCAGACCTTTGTGGTTTCTCCCCTTGCAGCCTCTCCCTTCCCCTTAGGCCATGTGGTGCACTGTGGGGGCCCATTTGGGCACACACCAGACCTTTTGTTGAGTTACTGTACTCTTACCTTCCTAATTATAGAATTCAAAGCAGAATGACTGAATTAATAGCATGTGTTTACTTCCTGCAGTGTCTGGGGAAGCGTAATGCTGCGGCGTGCTTACAGTAGCACATAATCTCTCCCTTTACCCCTCGTCCTCCATTTTTGCTCTGTGACTTCACAGCATCTCGAATGAAAGGTGCACTTTACTCACCAGCGAGTAAATCATGTGAATGGATGTTTTAAAGCACATGCCTAATACATAGTTCCCTGAGAGAACTATGCTTTCAAAAGCTCTCTGGGAACACATGTTTGGAACTTGAAATTGTACTAAGTACCATGTTACCCTAAAGTATCTGAGCTGGCGTAGACAGCAGTTAAACGTGTGCTGTTGCATTTACTGTCTCCAATCAAAGACTGCTAAGGTGTTCGATTCTATAACCATTTCATATAGGCAAATATTTGGAATATTAGTCTCAAAGAGAGACAATTCTAGATTACCAAAAGACTATAGAAATCCTTTTTCCCTTTGCGTGATAATGAGAAGGATTCTAATTCATTCTGGTTTCTGTGACCTGATCTTTGTTCCAGGTGGCCTCCGAACCCCTGTAACAGTCTGTATTTTCAGGTCCATACAGGCTGATGTAGACCAAACAAAAGAGTTAAAGCCGCCTGATTCAGGACTTGGTGGTTGGGAAAGTTGGGGAGTTAATTCACATTTTTTTTCAACAGTGAAAGACAGACAAAAGTGTTTTGTTGGTGGGCAGTTGGTTTTTAAGCTCCCAAGTTTATAATGAGTCCTGGCCCATGTTATGCTTTATATTTTCCTTTNTTTTTTTCCTGCAGAGTTTTGATATTCCTTTATATGCTATTAGGGAAGCAAGCAGGCAGTAATGAACACAGAGGCAACCTGGGAAATTGTCTCACAGTGATCCCTGACCCCCACAGACAGAGATCATTTTCTGTGTTCACAGGTGAAGTCTGAAGAAGCACCTATTCTCAGCTCACCTGCTGTGATGTTACTGCTCAGCTTCACAGTCACATGGTTAGTTTGTATTATCAAGAATTAAGGTCAGACACGAAGCCTTGACATACCATATATAAAAAGGAAAAAAAAAATAGACAAGGAAATGCCCTTGCATTAATCCTATAGCTTGTCTTTACTTCAAAAATATCAAATTGTCATGGTGCACCAGTGACATAGGTTTTTTCCACTTGTGCACAGCCTCAATGGTAGTATTTCTGCCTCTTCCTTCCCCTGATAAGCACAGCCATAGGTTTTTCTTCCAGTTGGTCACAGTCTTATGCTGACATTTATGTACAATATAGAAGATATGGCATCTTGAGGCATAGAATAGCCATAATAATATACCGCTAAATTTATCAAAGAGTCTAAACTTTATTTTACAAGCAATTTTTTGCCATTCAATATGGTAAATTCAAATAAAATTGGTCACAAGTGTGTTTTTCCCCCAGAAATTGGAAACGAAAAATACAGCCAGTACAAACACAAAGCAAAGCTAAATAAAAGCCTAGCACCATGACCACATGGTATGTTTTCAGAATCCAACAGTGTTCCAGCACACTAAACACTTAAGTTGGAAGTAGCACTTTGCCATGAAAAGAAACCAGCTGTAGGTCCCTCCTTCACTACATATTGTTCAAAACAAAAAAATAACCTCATTGAAAATGAGCCTCGGGTAGATGAGACCCAGAAATCCAACGGTATGAGAAACAAAAGAGAGACAATCGTCATTTTAATAATTAAACTGTGTTTGTAACAGCTTATGAGGCCTGCAGATCTAGCAAGCCTGCTGAATATTAACGAATACATTGATTTGTCAACATATTAGCACACTGTCAGACATAACATCGTGGAGGAGGTGCAAGGGGACTAGCCAGTGAGCTGCTTAAATACACTTGACTGGGCGCCAGGAAATTCTATTATGATTGGTAAACTAAAGTGAATTATGTGGGTCAGAACTTTCACTGGGGTTTAACATTTTAAACAATCTCTACTTGGAATTCCAGAATTACTTAATTAAAAAAAAAACATACATTTTACTCAATAAGGAGCTTTAAAGTTATGAGCCAAAGGCATACAATGATTTAAATAATATCTACTAGCAGAGTGAATTTTTAAATATATGTGTGCATAGGTACCTGTATAATGTATTTCATACATATTTCAAAATCCAAAAGAGTTAGTTAATATCTTAAAAAGATGTTCCACCAGGAAAATAATTATATATTTTGATAATATAATTAATGGGATTTTCTGTAATAAATAATTTTTAGAGAGAAACTGATCAAAAGATGTTTTAGCAAGAGTATTGGCATTGTAAGTGCTCGCAAATTGGCTTTTTATTTGCCCCCAAAATTGAGATGTTTCCTGTATGTCCAAATTATGAAATTAAAATGTCACTTCTGAATGTATATCATAGTTGAGTTAAAATACGACATCTNCTGCTCCAGAGCCCTGGTTCATTAGGAAGGAGTTATTCAAGTTAAATTCAGGAACTCCTGAAGGACCTGACAGCTGACAGTGCTCATAAAAAATTTAGACTAAATTCCTAATATTCAAATTTAGATAAATTATAAAGTTCCTCTCTCATTTGTAAAAATATGTGAACTCCAGGAAATACAAAAAGTTATGTAATAAAGAAGTAACAAACATATGTGTCATGATTTTGAGCAGTTAAGGAAAATGTAGGAAAAGAGAATCCTTTTAATACTTGAAAACGCTCCTTTGCGCAGGCATAGATTTAGAAATTTCACATAGGTTATTGTAGAGGGTAATAGGTTATCGGCTATAGGGGATATGTGTTAAAATCCAATAGTTCCTCAGTTAATAGTAGTTATAGGTAGGCTATTGCACATATTGCTTGTTAATTTTAAATTTTAGATAAACATCAGCATGTCTGACTTGATTATAATTATGCAAAAGAATGTAAATAATGAAATTTCTACAACACTAAGAATGAGGCGGGTCCAAAAATGGGCAAAGGGGGCTATAAGAGCCCTGAATTCCATGGAACTCATGTGGGATTCTGCCTAGATGAGTGGAGCGAGTTACAGGTTTATGTGTAAGGTTTAGTACATGATTTAATGAGTTAATACTTTTTAGTAAATATTACACATATGTGTGTATATACATCCCATATTTTGTGCCAGGCGCTGTTCTAAATTACAAAAGTGTCCCCAAATTAATTTAATATAACTAACTTGGGAGATGAAGGTCAATATGATAGAGAACACTGAAGTGAAATGATTTGTTTTCTTTAATGAAGGGAGTCAGTGTTTGTTTCATTTTTTTAAGGTGGTTCTTTTCAAATTATCTGTAGTAAAGGGCCAGTGTTATCTTGTTTTCATTTTTAAACATATAAAATATAATAGAAATGTGACAGCAATGTCAAAATGTTATAAAAAGTTTCCAAAGACTTAGTCTCACTTTGTATACTTATCCCATCACAAACCAATAACTAATTAACATGCTGGTACTGATCCACAGACCACTCTTTGAATAGTACTGTTTTAAAGTTACTGAGTCTAACATAAAATATAATAAAATATACTGTGTTGATTGTGATGACTTCTATAAGATCACAAGAAATTTTTTAAATAGTTAAAAGAGGCCATCTCTGGAGAGTGAATCTAATAATGAGATGAGAGGTTTTTATTTTTTATTTTGATCTCTTCTTATTGATTGATTTAGTTCTTTTATAAGATGCATATGTCACTTTCATAAGAAAATAATAAAAACAAACAGAAGTGCACGGAGAGAAAAAAAGCTCCAGGAATAAACGAAGTACAACCTTTTGTATAACTTTAATACTTTCATGCCTGGTCTAAAAGTTNGAACAAGTGCATAGCAAACATAAAGTATACGCAAGGGTACCTGTTTGCTTTCTCTTAAATATTTATTATTTTCACATTGAACTTAGAGTTCAGAAAAATGGCACTCTGAAACACTAAAGGTTTATTTGTTGTCATTAAATCTCAAAGGAATACCAACATTCTAATTGCTTGACTGCAAGCCTTTCTTTCCCACCCTTCAATGCATGATATCATGTAAACAGTATGCGTTTGCAAAGTTTAGGCAAATAGGGTGGCTTTGGTGCTGATGCTGTCACTTCAGGGGGCCTGCTGAACCAAGCAGCCCTGTTAGAGGGGAAGGAAAAAGGGTAACTCATCAATTGTGGGAACTGACAACCTACGAAATGGTGTTTTGATGAGTTTGAATCATCTCTATGGTAATTTGGAATTTCTTCATCAGGATTATCAGACCTGGTTAGATTTACGAGAGCTGGAATGCAAAATCGGGGAACGCTACATCACCCATGAAAGCGATGACCTGCGGTGGGAGCAGTATGCGGGAGAGCAGGGGCTGCCGTACCCCACACACCTGATCAATCCAAGTGCTACTCACAGTGACAGTCCTGAAACTGAAGAAACAGAGATGAAAGCCCTCAGTGAGCGTGTCAGCATCCTCTGAGTTCCATCCCCTATAAGCTGTCAAAACACTGTGGAATTAATAAATACATACGGTCAGGTTTAACATTTGCCTTGCAGAACTGCCATTATTTTCTGTCAGATGAGAACAAAGCTGTTAAACTGTTAGCACTGTTGATGTATCTGAGTTGCCAAGACAAATCAACAGAAGCATTTGTATTTTGTGTGACCAACTGTGTTGTATTAACAAAAGTTCCCTGAAACACTAAACTTGTTATTGTGAATGATTCATGTTATATTTAATGCATTAAACCTGTCCTCCACTGTGCCTTTGCAAATCGGTGTTTTTCTTACTGGAGCCTCAAGTGGGTAAGAGTCTGCAGAACCTGTCCATGAAACAGTTCTGTTCTGTGTGTCCCATCAGTGTTGTCATTATAAGCAAACTCTTGAAGAGTAGATTATTACCAGTGTTCTATGAACAACTCTAAAACTCATGTGGAAAAAGTGAATGATGGAAGATGGACGAGGGAGGATATTACAATCCTAACACACAAATGCATGAGACTTTTACTGTATAGTTTCAAATTCTTTTCCTGCCTGGTGTGCCTCAGTATGTTTAAACTCAAGTAAATGCACCTCGGCACACCTCCTACTCGTAAGCCTAAATGCCTTAGAAATGTAAACTGCCATATATAGCAGATATATTTCCCCCTTTCTTACGAAGCCCTGCTGTACTCTGGAAAACCAGCAGCTAAGCAATCTTTTGCCTTTGTGTATTTTTCAATAATAACAAATAAATATTCTTGTCAAAATATATGTCCACCTGACTGAATTATTTTCATGTATAATTCACACTGGTGTTTCTTAGGCCAATAAGGAACAGAGGTATCAGCTCAAAAAGCCCAACAATTCTTGTGATCTAGAATTTAGCTTTACTCTGAAGTCATAAAAGTATGTTTTCAAGTGTAGTGAAGGCTTTCTGGCTTGCATGTCACCTAGTTTCTAACAGAAAAAGAAAGCTTTCAAAGAGAAATGACCAAAGCCAAACAGCATACTTGAAGGCATAAGAATATTGCAAATAGCAGCCTCAGTGTAGCTTCCTGATTTTGTCAGTATAAGCCAGGGATGTATTAGAATAAAGGCTTCAGTTTCGTTCTATGTTATCTAAACAAGAAGGTTCTGAAAAGAACTACAAAAACACTTGAAGACTGGAAAATGATTCCTAAGAAGAAAGACTACTGAAGTTCTATAGTTTGGGGAAGAAAAGATTTAGTAGACTTGAAGGTGTGTGGCTTAGGGAATGTGGATAACGTGGGCTGTTCCTTTGTAGCAGAATGATGATGAATTACATATTATTGTTACTTTAACGAAAAACTGGTGAATGTTTGGAAGAATGTTATAAGTGCTGTGAGACATTTGAATATATTAGGTATGTTAAGACTACAAACAATATTTACACTTGGAAAGATGGAGGGGAGAATAGTTGACTTTCCCAATGATTAGTCACTATTTTATATTATCACTTACCCCCTTATTCTAAGGGACTTGAAATTTATTCTGTGTAAGTCTCGGGACACCATTCACATGTTTTCAGCAGAAGAGTAAGCAGCATCAAGTTCACTCTGCCAGCAAGGCAGTCTGGAAGGCCAGAGGAAGGGGTGGGTCAAAACTCCAGCTAAACTATTGTATTAACACGTGAGGTGATGAGGGCCTGAAATAAGGCAGTAGTGAAGAGTAAGGTAGGTGAAGAGGTACACATAAAGGATGTTTAATAGATGGAATCAACGGGACTTGGTTACTGACTGAATGTGGAATCTAAAGGAACCCAGAATGAATCCAAGGTTTTGGCTTGGGTGATTGATGGAACTGTTCATCAAAAGCAGTTCTAGCCTTAGAAAGGGTGAGTTCACATTTGAACATGATGAATATAAAGTTTCTATAGGACACAAAGTTTAAACTATCCTGAAAGTATTTAGATATGTGTCTGACGTTTAGGGAAGAATTTTGGAGTCGAAGGTACAGACTTGGAAGTTACAAGCCCCCAGTATGTTGATTAGAATGACTCAGGTCCATGGGAATTGGATGAGAAAGTGATAAGGACACAAACCTGAGAAGTATCGATATGGAAGGTTCAGTCAGAATAAGAGGAAAAATAGAAAGGAATGTTCAAATATACAATTAACTGGAGAAATATAGAAGCCAAGGGACAAAGGAAGTTCAAGAATGAAGTAGACAGCAGTAGAAAAACACTATGGAGAGAGAATGGTTTCAGTGTTTTGTTTTGTTTTGGCGGGGGCAGCCTTGCCAAGTATTCCAGCAATTTGTAATAAACATGACTCCTGCTACATTCAGACTAGCCATGTTAGAAGGATCTCTGTGTTGCATGCCATTGACACAATCTATTCTTCAGTGTCATTAAGGACAGGAAAAAGAAAGTAGCTTCCAATGTTCAGAAAAAAAGGGGGACACTAAAAATCATGTTTCTTTTATCCAGAATATCAGTGATCCTGCGAAGAATTCAGTTTCACTGAATCAGCACCCACTTTTTATGCCAAACATCATCAATAAAGCCGTCCCAACTTCACAGCAGTGATGTATTGTGCTATTAAATGACATGGGCAGGTCAGTAGTCTATGTTTAAAGCAAGAGGTAGACCAACATTTTTGATACAGAAGTGTCTTCTGATTCTGACAAAAAGAAGAGAAAGGACAGAGGCATAGTTTAGGGAGGATGTGTCCTTTGTCATTGTCACAGAGGCAATATTCCTTAAACAATGACATGAATAGCCCACCCAGATGCCATAAAAATTGCCACTGCTCTTGGCTTTTGGTCTGAGCTGAGGCAAATATTTTGATAAGTGATTCTTTTGATGTTCATTATCCCTAAGGAAGAGGCGATCTTTGCCTTTAGTGAATGGAGACTATTTTGAGAAGTATATGGTCAGCCATTGTGTTTAATGTGTAAAGCAAGTACAGCAATGAGAATAAGAAAGCCACCTGTCTCCTCTGTGCATCCATTACCCAGACAATGTTAAGTTTGACTACCTCTGTGGAACGATTACGTTTTGCATACTTTTCGTTTAGACCTCTTTAGGGAACCAAATACTGGTTTATCTAAAGATACGCTAAGGCTCCTGGGGAAGGGCGACTGCTTTCAGTTGCCAAAAGAGGAGAAAGTCTTTCATCTGTGCCTTTCTCATTTCCTGGAACACTGTTCTTTCTACCTCACCCCCTTGCCTTCTTAACTTCCCTTCATCCCCACAGGAAACACTTTCCATTGATACCTTTTTATCTTGGGTATGCATCACACATTCCTGCTTCTTTTATGCCTTATATGTATTGCTAAAAACTGGGTATTTTAACTAATATAGCAACTCTGTGTTGTAACCCCTCTCCAACCTCCCCCCGTGATGGTTGCTGTTTGTTTGTTCACTAACTTTCCGGGATTCGTTCTCCAGAGACTGTCTCCCCCTGAAGTATACAGCTGCTGATGTCTCTGCTCAGTTTTAGTTTTTTTGTTTTTTTCTTAATTTTTATTTTTAAGCCTGGCTTCCTAGAGGCCACCTCTAGGACAGCATAGATTAGTGGTCAGCGATTGTGTTTAAGAACTTGAGCCAATAAGGCTTCTGTCCTTTGCTGATGGATCCCAGTGTGAGTTAGGTTCCAACAGTTGGTAAGTTTCTTTCCTCCTGATGCTTTTGCTCTATATGTACAAGGTCTTACACTCAACCAGGTGAAGAGTAGGTGCCTAAGTCTCAGACTCTTCTGAGTGTGTATGCATCTTTGTACATTCATGGAGCCTTTTAGCCACCAGGTATATGGGGAAACCGTCTGTATCTCCCAATTCAATTTCCAGTGGTTCTACCAGTGTGTTCATTACCCCAATTAGCATTGCAACCTCAGGATAGCTGTAATGCTGCCCTTGCATGATTGCTCACCACTGAGATTGCTATTGTTTTTGACAATAACTATGGAAATGATTTTTTCCACCTTCTGCTCCAAGTTAAGTCAGGCACCCCTATCAGTAAGACTCCTGTTTTTCCCCAGCCTTCTCTACCCTAAGAACTACCTTGTCACAGGGCTGAGGGGATAGGGAAGGATGGCAGCAGGCTAAAAGGCCACAGACTCCCATTGTTCTTACTAAGGTTTACTAGTTTTTCCTGAATAAAATTCATTGTATGCCCTTGGCCAATTTCCAAGTCCTAAAATGGTTGTTTTGGAAAATTTTGCCAGTTATAGCATTGCTCTTTGGGAAAAGGTTTGATAAGCTTCTCACTCCACTGGAAGTCCCCAGAGATAAATATTAACCTCACTTTAAGAATAGCCGCAGACACCCTGAAAACTTCTATAATCTATAATACATAAAAAGGCAGATAAGTAGGAGAAAATATTCAGAGAATTTCAAGTTTTCCCATATATTCAGATTTCTCATGATGAGCTACGAAATTATTAGGTAGTTAAGTGTTAATTGTCTTGTGAAAGTGAAACATCTGATTTAAAATTTTTATTTAATCCAGTTCTCCCTCCTGGGCTCTGAGTGTCTGAACAGCGTGACTCCTGGTACCCCAGTGGATAAAACAATTGCTTATCCTCACAAGGTATGAGCCGTGTGGGTGTGGCCCACAGGAGCCTGCAAACCCTTAGCTAACCTTGGCTAATGGCCCCATGCCACTTGAGGAGAATGTGCCAAAGTGTTTTTGCAC